GCAAGCTGTCACATATGTTTTAAATGTAATTCTTTTTTTGTAATTTTGTTTGACAAAAAACAGTTGCTTGGTATTTTTATGGCACTTTTTAAAAAATATTTTTGTTTTGTTTTTTCATTGGTGCATAATTCTTTTACTGTTTAAATTATAACTATAATAGGCTATTTAATGCCAGTTTACCTCATATACTGTGAGAACATACCCATTATTGCATGAACTGTATCTTTTTCTGACTTTTCAGGCATGTGCCTATACAGTTTTAGAATGATAAATGGTAACATAAAACTTAAGTGCAGTCAACTTTTTAAATGATCTTTAAATGTAATTGGTGTCTTCGCTCCAATAAAAATGTATAATAAAAATGTAAAAGGTGTGCACATCCATCCAATATGGGTACAGGTGCAATGCAATAACCAAATAAATAAATAAATTACAACACTGAAACTAGTGCAATATTTTAAGTAGCTCTTCATCAGACATTTTTTTTTGCTTTAAGTAATTTTTGAACTTTTAGAACTAGTTCCAGATCAGTGAGAGTCATTTAAATTAGGTTAAATAAATTATAGGCCTTCCGGCACACTCTTTTAGCTGCCAGACCTGACCTGTGATCAGGTGGAAATGATGAGGGCAGAGGCAGGAGTGATCATGTCCATCTCTCTTTCTGTGTGACTACAGTGTATTGAGGAGAAACACGTTGTGCATGTGTGACTGTGATGTCTCCTTAACTAAAGAATCATAAACATGTGATTTTAAAAAAATCCTGAACGCGTTTTGGTATATGATCCTCCTGGATCTCTATGGTCAGAAGCAGTTAAAACTAATTGTAATCTTTATAAGGTGCACATCCATCCAATATGGGTACAGGTGCAATGCAATAACCAAATAAATAAATAAATTACAACACTGAAACTAGTGCAATATTTTAAGTAGCTCTTCATCAGACATTTTTTTTTGCTTTAAGTAATTTTTGAACTTTTAGAACTAGTTCCAGATCAGTGAGAGTCATTTAAATTAGGTTAAATAAATTATAGGCCTTCCGGCACACTCTTTTAGCTGCCAGACCTGACCTGTGATCAGGTGGAAATGATGAGGGCAGAGGCAGGAGTGATCATGTCCATCTCTCTTTCTGTGTGACTACAGTGTATTGAGGAGAAACACGTTGTGCATGTGTGACTGTGATGTCTCCTTAACTAAAGAATCATAAACATGTGATTTAAAAAAAATCCTGAACGCGTTTTGGTATATGATCCTCCTGGATCTCTATGGTCAGAAGCAGTTAAAACTAATTGTAATCTTTATAAATGGTTGTTCTTTTTGTGCCTTTGTCTTTTGGTGACTTTGTTTACTTTGTTGCTTGTCATTTGACATAGAACATTTCTTATAATCAGACCAACATAGCATCACATATACAACTGACAGGATATTTTAAAGGATTCCAGGCATTGGGACTTCATACAAATGTATGAACCACTTAAGAACGCTTAAACTGGATTTGTACCTGCAACCTTTTGGTCAAGAGCGTTTACAAATTTTTATTTTTGGTTTTACGGCAAATAGTAACCTTATCACCTTTTTGCTGATTTTTACCTCTATAATTCACTGATTGTTTTATCTGTAATGTTGCTGTCAGATGTGATCACACTGGAAAATAATCTGTGGGAGAAAACCACACAATCACATGCGCACACACACATAGCCTAAGATTTTGGTGTATTTTAGTGCATTTCAGATTCATATTAGGTGATTTAATGAAAATAAACACCTGATTAAGATATATAGAAACAGTTTTTTTGTTTTCTTAGTCATCTATGGTTATATGATGTATTGTATGAACATATCATGTGGTTAAATTGGACTATTTATGTCAGGTTTGCCCTGGGACACAGAGTGTAATGTTTAATTAAAATTTCTGAGATAGTATTAATGATACCAAAGAAACATCTCCCTCTAAACACCCACATGCAATTTCTCATGCCAGTGAACATTTCTCAGGCATGTATTTAAGTTTACACACACACACACACACACACACTCCATATACTCCTGCCCCCCCAACCCCCTCTCATGCAAACTCTGGTCTCATACGGCTGGCATTAACATGATGTTTTCTCACCATCTGATCAAACTAAAGTCACTTTGTGAATGTGTAGGAGGTCCTTTGAGGAAATAGGGATAAACTCTTTCTAACTTAATTAGCAGTCTCGAAAGACCAGATCAGAGAAGCGAACTCCTGATAGAACTGTGGATTAGCCAGTCTCAATCAAACAACTTTGAAAGAAACAACCATTTTAGATTGGTAAAACCAGCCAGAAACCAGTCGTTCTCTGATCTTATTTCAGCATTCAGAGAGGGATTTAATCTCTCGCTCTCTCTTTCTCTTTACCTTTTCCAACAATTTTGTCACCTTGAGTGAGGCTGATGGGAAGATGTGTGTGGGCGTTGTGCGTCAGGAATAGGATATCTATCCATATGGGAAAAATTGCCTCTAATTGTTTCATTAAATGCGTTCATGGTGAAAGGCAGTAACTGTTTGGGTGTTGGTGTTGGGGGTTGGATGAGTAAGCCTTTCCTAAAATGAGCTGGAATATGACAGTGCCCCACAAGGCTCTTGCAAATCAATATGGAGGCTGGCAGGATGTTTAAAAGCTGGAACATACGGACGTCTCCCCCTGCTGTGGGCGTGATCGTCTGACATGCCTGTGGTATCCATAGTTTTTGGTAATGGTTGTGAGACGCTTTCTATTCTAAAAATGTATCTGAGAAAATATCATTATTACACTTCAAAGCGGAAGCAAAAGGTCAAAACATGAAAAACGTAGGCCTATGTTCTATGAATAACTTTATCTGACTGACTGTATCAGGTCTTTCAGTGAACAGTTCTTAAAATAACCACTTTTCCACTATAAATAACCTTTTGTGCAATGGAAAGGTTCCATGGACATTAAAGATTATTTATGGAACCACAGATGCCAATAAAGAACCTTTATTTACGAATTTATGTCATCTATTATCATCATCAGGCTAATTTCATAGAAATACGCTATTTGTGTTTACATGTATTTGTGTTTTTTTTAAACAATAAATCCATGTGACAGCACTGCATCCCAGTCATTTAAAGAAAAAATCAAAACTTGCTTAACCTTCAAGTCAAGCAGTTGAAAAAATACTCTTCAAATGAATTGTGGCACCCACTGCTCTGTGTGTGTGTGTGTGTTCACTTGGATGGGATAAATGCAGAGCACAAATTCCGAATATGGGTATACTTGAGTATACTTTTTAATTTAGGCAGGCTACTCATGGGGTTATTGCTGCTGCAGATTTGACTGCTATGACACAAAGTTGTCCAGTTCTTTTACTGAGATAAATAGATATGGAAAATATTTTCATTATTAGTTTTAACCAGGTTATTCAAGTCCTGTCCAATGTAATGTTCTCTATCTGATATAGACACTCTCATTTCCATTAGGTGAGCGGAACTGGACCTGTCTGACTCACTGCAGGTACAAATGTCACCTGTACCCCAAAAGCTGAAGTCAGAACTACTGTCACAGTGAATCATAGGCTTTACTGGACTCAGTTAAATTATTTAACGCCGTGACACGGTATGTGAACTTAGTTTAGCCCACAGCCCTGGAAGAGACAGGCAGAAACTGCTCTCTAAAAATATTTCAGCGAGAAACTGTTAAACTCATAACACTTAATTATGGACTCAAAATTATAGGCTTAAATTTGTTATTTTTTACTTTTCACTCTCTCTTTAATTTACTTTTGGGTGATTAACCTGCTGCTGCTGCTTATAAGCTGGCAAGCAAAATATGGAGTAGGCTATATCGCCCCCTTTAGGGCAACAGGAAAACAAGAAAAACATCGCATAAAATTAAAATGAAGTCAAAGACTTTATCTTAGTCATCCAAACTGACACCTCTAATAATATTTAAGAAACATTGCATAGTACTGAAAATATTTTATAATAATATTTTTCAGACACCGGATTTAAGCATCACAGTAATCTAGTTAAATGCTGGTCAAAAACTCAGCAACCATCTAACGCAGTATAGCATTATGTTGTGAGAAAACAAAATACACAGTATTTACTTGGGACAACAGAGCAGATCACAGTAGCCTCTCATTTAGAGGTCAAATGTCACCATGTAACAATTCATCTTTGTTTGTGAAAAGATTTGTAGTATCACCCTCTACCCTCTGAGTAGAGGAGTCTTAATTTTCCTACATTTTCCTTTTATTTCCTACAAATTCCTACGTTTTTTTCTCATTGCAAAGGCATTACCTGTCCAAAACTGCAGCTTTGGATGAATTAACTACTGCCACAAAATTCAACAGGTTAGGATACTGTTTGTCCACCGCATGCAATTGAGGACATTATAAGGAAAAATAATATGTCAGTGTGTGTGTGTGTGTGTGTATGTGTATGTGTGTGTGACAAATGAGGACATCAATTTGTATAATGACAAAGGTATGACATAGGTATTACAAGTAGAAGTGTGTGTGTGTGTGTGTGTGTATGTGTGTGTGTGTGTGTGTTTCCCCTCATATTTGAACATTTTGGTTGAATATAGATGGGCTCTTTTATGTAGGCGTTATGTCACCATGCGTTATGTCACCAGTCTGTCAGTCTTTGGCTTTTGTAATACTAATTTGCTCTCATAGTTGCAGCGGATGTCTCGCCTCCTCGTGAATTAACAAAAGCTTTGAGAGGGTATCCCAGCATCGCCCGGCTGTCTCCCGGGGAAACATCCCGGGTAAACAAGAGCCAAGCTCCGCGCAACCGGGCGGCAGAGCAGCAGCAGCAGCAGCAGTCGTGTTGTGATTTCTGAAACTGGCGCGCGCGACACGTCCATCCACTTTAGAAGACAGGGAGGTTTGCTAAAAAGAAAATCTCTTACATTAAGACAACAGTTTAACTAAATAGGTTAAAATGGACTTTACAGTGGCTTAAATATATATATTTGTGTTTGACTGACGAGCTCAAGGACTGAGTGATGGATAGGAAAGGAAACATGCTGCGCGCCACTTCAGCTGGGTACCGTTTACCGGACCGACCCAATGGTCCTCTCGCCTCTCAGTCCTCGGTCTCAGTGTTCAAGCATTCAGCGGGTAGGACACGAAACACCGGTGAGAAACCGGCGCAAGACGATGATACCCGAGATCCGGTAAAGCAGGACCAGGTTTGGAGAGAGTTTGTGCTCGCAGAGCGAACCGGTGTGAAAGAATGGTAAGAAAGCGATATGGTAAGAAAATGGTATTCACTTTCTTAGACATGTCGTGGATTTGCCGGTTTGTTTCTCACTTTCTCTGGAGTTACGTTACTAATCTTTTCTTTCACCTCTTAAATGTGGCATTGTTTGACCCGTTATTTGATACGGGATGGATTGTGGTTGACCAGGCGCCCCCTGGACGGTGTACGTTACGGCTACTCATCTCTTGTTCTTCAACAACTACAACTAGGCTATATAGCCGTGGTTACTGTACACAAAACCACCATCATATAATAAAAAAAATCACAATTTCGCTTCTAAATAATTAATTGCATCGTATGGTCTGGAGAAATATCATGATGTAAAATACTTCATGGTTGTTTTATCACAGGAAGAAGAACTGGAGTTTCCTGAGGAACTTTGACCAACTGGTAAGAAACCCTTTTATCAGTGATGACAATTTGCCAATGACTCAGAACTCAGAACTGTTACTCATAAGTTTTCTTGCTGTATTGTTAAAATGTAATTAACATATAATGCAAATATACAATGCTGTTTAAAGGTTTGGGATCAGTCCGATTAAAAAAAAAATAATTAAAACATTTTTTTTCTCAGCAAGGATGCATTAAATTTATCAAAAGTGACAGTAAAAATGTATGGTTACAAAAGATTTACAATTCAAATAAATTCTGTTCTTGTGAACTGTTTATTCATCAAAGATTCATTTCTAGAGCACCAAATCAGTATATTAAAATGATTTGGAAGGATCATGTGATGCTGAAGACTGGAGTAATGATGAAAATTCAGCTTTGCCATCACAGGAATGAATTACATTTTAAGTTATATTAAATCAGTTGTAATATTCAAAAACAAATTGTAATGATAATTCAGAATATTACTGTTTTTACTGTGGTCTTAATTAAATTAATGCAACTTTGGTGAGCATATAAGAGACTTCTTTCAAAAATATTACAAATTTCATGCACTCAGTAATTTTTGTCAAAATCAGTTTGCATGGGACTGGTCAGACTTTGTGTTCACATGACCGGCCATATCATGCAATTCACAGTTATACTACTAATAACAATAATGATAATAATTTATAGTGCTTTCAATCCACGCTCAAGGTGCTTTACGAAGCATTTATAATATATATTTTATTAAAGCTATCATTCATCTTTTTTTTTTCCTTTTAAACAGCTACAATGTGTGCCTTCTTTTCGGCCGCAAATGTGTGACTACAGTCAAAATAGATTTAAAAATATATTGATATATTTTTCTTTCACCTTTAAGAGAAAAAGAGATAGAAATGTGGTTGGGAAATAGCACAGACCAGATATTAGGCCAGGCTTAAACTTTTTATTTTCCTAGTAATTTGATGTGTAATAATTGTAATTGAGTTGAAACTTGAGAAAGTGTAGGAATGCAGAAAATGGGGTGTCGGTTTAATCTTGCTTGTGATATCAAATACATTTCAGGTAATAGCCAGGTTATTTCTCATGTGTGTTCCATTAGACGAGATAAAACGCGCCCTCTGTTGGAAGAATGTGCCTTCTTAACAATATCAACAAGTGAACATTTACTTCATAATGTAGCTGCAAATACAAGAGGTCGCTGTTACACTCTTTCATTAGAAGGATTCCAATGATTCGAGAATAAATTCATAAAGGTCTCTACTACTCTGTGTTTTATGAATAAACCAATAGATCATTAATCAGCATTTTCATTTATATGCATTCTTTATTTGATTCACCTCATAAATAAACAAATATAATAATACATTTTAATTTATAATAAATAAAAAGACAATTTACAATGTATGCCACTCTGCAGCAACATGATTCATTGTGGTGATTGATTTCAACATCCTGTGTTCAGTCGCATCTCATTTCGCACTCAGTTCAGTCAACTCACGTTCATTACAGCATAACCTTTATTCCTAAACATTGTGTTTAGAAATTATTTGGAGTAAACTAATGAAACTAAAAGCCGAGAGATGTTCTGCGATTCTTCAGTGATATGTGGTGGGTGTGAGAATGATACAGGAGGATATTTGCATTGACCCGTGTGCCGCCGATCGTGGGCGAGACGGAGAGAAGAGAGGCTTATGGGTAAAGACTGCTGTTGTCGTGGAAGTTAGTGATGGATTCATTTAAGCGAATCGGTTGTTTTGAACAACTCATTTCAAAGAATCGTTTACATAAACGATTCAACGATTCTTTTACGTCATGACGCACTTGCGTCACCACGTAGTTCTTGATCTCCTAGTCTGGCATACTGCCTACTGTAAAACCTTCAGATAAGCCATATTTAGACACGTGTTTTTTTTGGCGTTTATTGCAATTTCATTCGTTTCCATTCAATTTAAATGTAGTAATTAGAACTTAAAATCAATGTATTGTATTGAATCATCTTCATTTGACCCTCTAACTCATCTCGATCGTTCCACTCCTGGCTGGTGGAACGATCTTCCCACCCCTATCCGGAATGCTGAATCCCTGACAATTTTCAAGCGACAGCTGAAAACTCATCTCTTTCGAAGCTACTTGACTTCATCATAAAAAAAAAAAAAAAAAAAAAAAAAAAATTTTTTTTTCTCTTTCTAGCTTGTACTTATTTGAACAATGTCTAAGAACTTGGTATTACAACCACTTCTTGTGTCTGTTTGCCTCTTTAAGAAGAATCGCTTTATGTATCCCCCAATTGTAAGTCGCTTTGGATAAAAGCGTCTGCTAAATGACTAAATTCTCTCTTTATTTATTCCTTCTCTTTCTAGCTTGTACTTATTTGAACAATGTCTAAGAACTTGGTATTACAACCACTTCTTGTGTCTGTTTGCCTCTTTAAGAAGAATCGCTTTATGTATCCCCCAATTGTAAGTCGCTTTGGATAAAAGCGTCTGCTAAATGACTAAATGTAAATGTAAATGTAACTCTAGCACTATTCTAGCCTATTCTAATTCTAAAAAAACACTCGAACCTCTAACGCTTGCACTCTTTATTCTGTTTCTATTCTTACTATTTGTTTTCTTTAAAAAAAACTCCAACACTAGCATTCTCTATTCTTTTTCTATTCTATTTTCTTTATGTAATTATATAAAAAAAACTTGCTTCGTGTGTTAGGCTAACCGAGACTTGTCACAGCACTTACATATCATTGCGCTTCTTTTGGTTTTGATTGCTTCTATTGTAAGTCGCTTTAAATAAAACCGTCTGCTAAATAACTAAATGTAAATGTATTAGTTGATAACACGAGAACCGCTCAGGCGAATCGTTTGGACCATTTTTGTGATTCGGATCATCTGATTCATTTAAAAATGTCCGAGTCAAAAGACCGATTCGCTCATGAATCGGACATCGCTAGTAGATGTCAGAGAAGCGAACTCGAGGCTCGAGCTACCTGCAGGAATACCGAAGAACTGATCCGGGGACTGGCGAGAGCGAGCTAATCCACTAGCGACATGCGGAGACACTTTAGGAAAGCGCTTGCGAGTAACTTAAAATAAGTAACTTTATCATGAATTATTAATAATACACATAAAACGCGCCGGTTCCGTTTCACGTCGCAGTTTAGTGTGTTGCAGGAATGCGCTGGAGTGTGTGGTCTGGTCGACTCCAACAGATGCTCGCCTTTGAACAACAGCAGCGTTGTTTATGAACTGGGGAAGATTTGAAGTCAGGCTCAGCCAGTCCGGAGCGCCCGGGAGAGGGGGAGAGGAGACGAGACTAGGGGAGGGGAGGGAGGAGAGAGGCGGGGGAGAGAGGAGAGGAGAGGAGAGGGGCGCCCAGAAAACGCCCTGCTGCTGAATCCTCTCAAAATTAAAACTTTATCGCGCCATTGACGGTACGCTCGCACTGAAGGATGGGAGGTTTGATTCCTCTCAATTGTTTAAAGTAACCACTTCATAGATTGTTTTGAGGGGGAAGTTTGGAAAACCTCAATTGTTCCCATTGGATTATTTTTTTCCGCTTTATTCTGGACAAGCACGGGGCACTTTTTGGAGGGCGGCGAGTCGGAGGCTGTCTAGGCCCGCTGCTCGACAACTTGAAATAAGATCTTGTATCTTTAATGTGAACCAGAAAAGTTGGGCTGATCGCTCATCATTGCTCAGACTGGCGCTAGGACAAGGCAAAAATGTCGCTAGGAGCGGAGAGAAGGATGGAAAACCGGTTGAGACAACTGGAAGCCATGCTCAAAGAGCCGCGGTCTGCGATCAACTTGGAAAGTTTGCTGGTAAGTTCCGTCCTTTTTCATGAATGTTTAATGCGCCTCGAAGATCCGTTGCCTAGTGACACAGAGAAAAAAAGAAATAACAACAACCTAACCGCGATGTTGCATTGCAGAAATGAGTGTCTAGTGAACGTTACAGTCCACTGTGAGGAAGCTCAGTGTGCACGTTGATGTCTCTTTTAATATCCTCGGTATTTGTACATAATCATCGCCCCACTTCCTTCTTTCCTTGTCAGTAACTTGTGGATAACCTCACGTCCCAGTCTCCGCGTATAAAACTATTCTCACGTACACTTGCCATATTTGAATAACTCTGCTGCGTCAAGTTCTGAGTTCATATGTTGCCTCGCTCCAAATATAGTAATATTGTTGGCCTGCAACATGACAATTTCGTAATTCCCCCTTCCTGCTGTTGGTGGCTTGTTTTTGTTCTGGAAGTAGACTGCTATTAACTGGCCTGCAGGTGAAGGTATTGGACACGTATTTCTAAGAGCTGGAATATTCACAGATTGATCTAATATCTTCAAAGTGCACTTTGAATTGTTTTTATTTTTCCTTTGTGAACTGATAGATGAGCGTTTAGTGCCCTTCCTTTTTTTGGGGGGGCACATGTACAGCTCAGTTGGTGCCAAGTGATAATATTTCGCGAGCTTGTCAATCGGTTTATGTCTGACCTAGCTATTGACGAAAACACAGATGATAGGCAGAGTGCCAGAAGTTAGTTAGATAGATCTGACAAAACCCTCTTTTTTGTGACACCACAAAAAAAGTGTTTAAAATGTCTTTTAGAGGTCTATGATTATAAATCATTTTATTTGAAAGCAATAGAAATTAATTGTAATGCTTGACAGATGCTTTTTTCAATGACTGAAACTATTAGAGAGCCGAATAGCCCCTATAATGCTGATATTTATGTGATATAGCTGAATAAAATTAAATGATAGCAAATGAAATGTATTTGAGCTAAAATGGAACATTTGTGTGTGTGTGTGTGTGTGTGTGTGTAGGGAGAGAGAGATACTTTTTTAAATACTTTTATTCACCAAGGATGCATTAAATTGATCAAAAGTGAAAGTAAAGACAAGTATAATGTTACAGAAGATTTCGGTTCAAATAAATGCTGTTCTATTTATTATTAAGCAGCACAACTGTTTTCAACATTGATAGTAATAAGAAATGTTATTATGGACCAAATCAGCATATTAGAATGATTTCATAGTAGAATATGACACTGAAGACTGGAGTTATGGCTGTTGAAACTTCAGATTCACCATCACAGGAATATATTACATTTAAAATATATTAAAATAACATTCATTTAAAATTCTAATATTATTTCTCCATATTTCTCAATGTTTTAGCATATTTGTACCATCGTTTTTATGATTAAATTAATGGAGCCTTGATGAAGAGAAGAGCTGTCTTTCAAAAAATGAAAAAAAAAGTAAACTGCAACTGTATGTCATTGACAAAACCAATACTGATTATTGGCCGATGCCAATATTTTTATCACTAGTTAAGTCCTAAAATTGATAGTTAATGCTTATTTGTCTAATTTCTGCAACACTAATGACAGAACTAAAAAAATTATGACAAACTCTCCCCCATCAACCATTGATTAGACAGACATATAAGGCACTGTTTACACTAGTGTGTTTTAAAATGAAAATGATCCTCGTCTACACTTGCGTTTTCACTGCGTTTCAGAAACGATCTCCGTCCACACTACGCAGCCAAAAACGCATGTCACATGACTATTTATGCAGGTACAACAATGAGAATGATGTTATTGTTTACACGGTCGTCAAGAATACGCAGAGCGAATGTGGACTGCCACGCCATCGTTTTCAAAAGTCTCTGAATTGCGTTTACACTGAAATGCAACCCCGGAGTTTTCAAACTAAAACGGGGTCTGCAGCATTTTCGAAAGTCTCCGTTTTCGAGGGTCAAAAGTGTAAACGACAGGCGTAACCTTAGCAAAAGTTATACGTTTTAAAACGAAAACGGACTAGTGTAAACATAGCCTTAGTCCCAGCCCAAACTCTTGCCATTGGTTGAGTCAGTGTTGTTGTGTTGGGCTGGTTGTGATGCCTAAACTAACATTCATGATTTGACAGAACAACAGTGTTCACTGTTCAGGGAAAGCACCTTATTAATGGATTACTTATGATTTTGGATAAGAAACTATTTGCATGCCTAAAAGAAAGTGTTTTAAATCAGAATAATTATGTTAGCTTTAAGTATGCCTGTTTGAACTTCACCACAGATGCATGAAGTAGATGCGAAACTTATTGCTTATAGTAAGTGAAGTGATTCATTTGAGGCAGTCAAGGAGGCAGTTCTTTTGGTACTGAATGTTCCTGCATGCATAAACTGTATGTAAAATGGCATGTCAGATCTGTGTGACTGATTAAAATGAATCTGGTCCAAAACCAAACAATACTCCGCAGACGCTTGATGAAGCATGATTTGACTCACTGTGTCTGGGCCAGAGTTTGGTCTAAACTCTGAGCAGATATCTGAGAGAAAGATATGGGTCATCCTTTCTGAGAGAATCGGCGTGTATGTTTATCAAGGAGGTGTGTGTGTCTGTCTGTGTGTGTGTGTGTGTGTGTGTGTTGTCCATTATGAAAGTGCTGGTGACAGAGTTTCTCCACAGCGGAAGAATGTGTGTGTTTCCTGAGGAGGAGATGAGCTGAGAAGTGGGAAGCAGTGAGTGGGAGTGAACAGGCTTCACTCTCTTTCTCTTTTTCTGTCTTTCTCTCTGCCATTTATAGCTCAAGTTCCTCTCTGCTTTAGCTCAGGGCAGGAGATAGCACTGTGTGAGAGTGTTTAGCTGTAACGAGATGCTTCTAGAAAACACATCACACAGATATTTCCATTCCGTTAGTGGAATATATGAACTTACTTCCAATTAAGAAGTTGAGAATGCAAACACTTCTTATCCCCAAAAATACAAATATTCTCTCTTTCTCTCTCTCTTTGTTTTCACCCCACCATGAACTCTTTAACTTGTCATTAATTATAGCTCAAGCTGATTACTGTCAGTTATCCAGCATAATGCGATTGATTTCAAGCCTTTAAATCAAGTATTTCAGCCTGAGATTATACCCGCTTTGACCAGTCCCTGTGTGTTTGGGAGAGTGATGCCAAGTGAATTCATCAGGAATTTTTGGAATTTTCCAGGTATGTAAAATGGCACTTTTCCCTATTTATGAAGTAATGAAAGCCTTTTTTACTGTGATTACTACGCTGCCTTATTGCCACTAGCTCTGGCCACTTTTAACCCTGCAGAAAGATTACATAGTGTTGTGTAATCTCCTCTGTCTTTTAGAGCAGTTGCATAACACTATGGCCAATTGTAGTCCAATAAATGTGTATATGCTTTAAAAATCCAAGCTACATGTGCATTTAGGTCTGTTAGTCCAACTTTAAAAAACAGACTGGTATGATTTCAGTTTAGACTGAAGTGGTTAAATGACATTTAAAGTGTCAGTGTTACGGAAGTAGCGGCAGATCAGTACACTTGGTTCGATCCATTGGTTGTTGAATTGAATGGAGGCAGATCTGAATGCAAGCTTGCAGTCGATTGTATGAAAGGGGTGGGGTTTATGAGGACAAAATGATTGGAGAAATCCAGCATAAACCAGCAGAGAGATGTCTAGTGTTGTTTCACTAGAAGGTTGGGTAGTTGCATTATGATAAAAAAAAAACATATGCATGAATAAATCACACACAATATTATCAATAACCTGCATTTAGAAAATTTCATGCAAAATTGTTTTAATTAGATGGAAATCAAACTTTTAACATGCATGTAAATGCACTTACTGGGGATTCTGTTACAGTATTCTAATCCAGATGTGACCTGTCGAACTGAAAATTCAGAAATGGCAACTGCTCCAACATTCCAGAGAGCGAATTTCTCCACTTCACCTGAAGACGATGTCATATTCCTGCTAAAGAGCAGCAATTGGAGATGTAAAAAAACACTGTAAAAAAAATTAATTGTTGAGAAAACGTAACATTTCCAGGCAACTTGATGCGGTAAAAGTTTTAAGTTCTCTTAGCTATTGTTTTAATAATTGTACTAAGTAAAACTAATGTTTTGTCAATTTGAATTGGTTTGTTCACTAAATGCAAAATGCCTCGTTCAGCCAATATATTCATGAAAACAAAAGATTTCTTGTTCAGTAAACTTTCTTTTATTGCCTCAATAAATACATTTCTTGATATGATAGTCAAATGTGCTATATAGTCTTATAGGACACTTAATATTTCAAGTGAACCATGCTATGATTGAAAAGAGGATAACAATCCTTACAAAGCAAATAAATGTAAGATATAGTTCTACATTGCTGAACATACTTTAGACCTCAACACTTGACGCACTAACCTGAAGAACGGTGACAATCAACAAATGTAAAATGATGAGCTCTTTACATCACAAGATGTAGTTCAACAAATAACTAACAATAATGAGAAATCAACAAAAAACATTTAAATGAAGTCATCAAACAGCAAAAAAAATATATATATATAACAGTAACTACATAATTTATTCATGCTGCATTGCATGCTGGGAACTCACAAAGTCTTAACATTTCGGTAATATGAAATTCTTTGTTCAGACAACTGTTTTTGATTTGGGACAACATTTGGGGCAATTCTGTTGGTCTGATATGGGTTTTTATATGGAAAATATGTAGTTGCTTTTTTTACAGTGCAATTTTACACTAAGATAAACTGACACTCACTTTACCACAAACTCTTTAATCTTTTAACAAATGATCTTTCATGATCAGCATGTTGGAAGATCATTAAGTTGGTTCCATTGTACAGTTAAAATTGGTCCTTTAAAATGGCCTGGTGGCAGTGTGGTCTGAGAGAAAGGGCAATGGTCAGGTTCAGGAGGGAAGGTTAATGAATAACCTGTCTGTCATTTATTTAGTGGCTGTCAGAAAGGCAACGCTTACACAGATAATTGTAGGGCACAATACCAG